ACAGTTGTTCCTGCAGCGTGCCAAATGGTTAAACTTCTATTATTTTCTGTTACCTTTCTGTTTGAGGTAAAGTTAGTTATATATTTGCACAATTGTTCATGTTTAAACTTGTGACACGGTCCCTATATTGTTTATTAAGACTGCACAACACAATATTTCAGCTTTGATATCACAATGTGTGGATGTGCAATAGTTGCATCGCAAGAAATGCAATGTTGAGTCTGAATTATAGTTGAAAAAGAGCTACAGAATGCATGTGATTTGTAGAGTCACTGCTAAGTGTAACTATAATAGAGTGAAGTTTATCAACTGCATGCGTTTTTAAGGTATTTCAAGAGTTTAAAATCATGTTTAAAAATTTTTTGCACTGTTTTATTGTACCTGAATAATGTTAAGACTACCTAGAAAAATGCCAAATAGAGCCACTTATCTTTTCAAACTGTATTCATATGGCAGCATTTATAACAAAAAAAATATTAAAAATTAAACACTGATATCATATTTCTCCAATATCTTGCAGTCCTATTGTTTACCACGCTAATTTGAATATTAGGCCTGAAATAGCATGGAAGAATCACTTTAAAGCAACATTAGCACTGTTTAATTAACTGTAAACACAGTTGTACTTTGAAAATACTGTTCTGGATTTATTTTATTAAGGATAAACTCTGAATGTGTGAACATAAAACTTCACCCCAACGTTATGAAGCTACTCTGACACAATCAGTTTTGCACAAAACCCTACCGAATGAATGTAGCTTGACAATATGAGGTGCTGTGTAGCATTTGAATCAAACTTGCTTATCAACACATACATAAAACATGTGCATATACACTTATGAATTATTCACATGTACATCTATACTATTGGATGTTCAAAACAATATGAAACTTGCATATAAACTTGATGCATGCATACAACCACATACATATAAACTCGATCCTTGCATAAACAACCACATACACGCACACATACATGTTCACATGCAGCGAGTTTATATGTATGTGCATGTGTATGTGGTTGTATGTATGCATGAAGTTTATATGTATATGCAAGTATCGTATATATTGTTTTGAACATCCAATGTATAGATGTATATGCAAACATGATCGCTACATTCTAATAAAATGCTGGGCTGTTTTACTCAAATCTGAGAAATCTAAGAGTTGTAATGTAAGTGCAATAAAAAATTGCAATTTAAATTTATTTGGTTAAAAATAACCCAATTTTGCATTTGTTCATAAATTTAATCACAACGTTAAGGCAAAACAACACAACATTGTTTAGAGTGTAAACCTATCAACTCCGTGACTTTAAAAACTCCATAAACAATCATCAAACTGTTTAAATAATACGTTTAGATTCCACATGTCACCTTATAGGAGCTTATAACTCTCCAAAAACAATATTAATAAAAATAAAACACTGTAACATTGGGGTAAAGTTGGCTTTATATTCACACAGTCTGACTTTCTCATTAATATAATTTCAGAAAAGCATTTTAAATAGGAAAATCATATAAGCAGCCAATGGCTATTAACGTTCAACATTGTTCAGTCATTTAAATAGTGCTAAAGTTGTTTTGAAATCACACGTACACATGCTATATCAGACCAAAAATTCAAAGTCACAAGTTCTTTCATTCATTTCCTTTTCAGCTTAGTCCCTTTATTTCACGGTCAATTAAATAGTCCAAATATTGTTTTCAAGTCACACTTACATGCAATTTCAGACAGAATATTAAACGTCACACAACGTTACAGTTTAAAAATGAAAAAACGTGCGAATCATAACTTTACCTTAATGTTATGAAGCTACTCTGACACAATCAGTTCTTTACAAAGCACTATTGAAATAAACGTAGCTTGACTTAATGTCAAATGTCTTCCTCCTTTTGTAATTGTACTTTTAGTAAACATCAGTAAAAATGTTGACAAACTAAATGTATAAACACCATCTCAATTAAGCTATACTCTAAAAGAACAAAACACTGGCCTGTTTTATAACAAAGATGGGCAAATATTGACAAACACAACCGATTTAAAAGTCAGATTTAAATGCATGTATAAAAAATAACCCAACAATACGTTTGTTCATAAATTTAACACAACAATGAGGTAAAACAACCCAGCTTTTTCTTTGGGTGTAGAACTATCAACTCTGTGATTTTATAAACTCTATAAACAATCGTTAAATGTTTAAATAATATATTTAGTTTCCACGTCACATTATCAGAGCTTATAACTCTGCAAAAACGAGATTACTCAAAATAACATTAAGGTAACTGATAAAAACAAAATCTACTCTGACACAATCAGTTTTGTAAAAAACACTATTGAAATAAAGGTAGCTTCATTTAATGTCAACCCTCCACCTTTTGCAATGCACTTTTTGTAAACATCAATAAAAATAAAAAACAGGCTCACTAAATACAAAAAGACGATCTTAATTAACCTACACTCTAAGAAATCTTGCGCTGTTTTAACACAAAGATGAGTCAAATATGGACAAACACAACCGATTTAAAAGTCTAATTCAAATGTATGTATAAAAAAATAACCCAACGTTATGTTTGTTCATAAATTTAACACACATGAGGTAAAACAACCCAGCTTTTTCTTTGGGTGTAGAACTGTCAACTCTGTGATTTTATAAACTCTATAAACAATCGTTAAATTGTTTAAATAATATATTTAGTTTCCACATGTCACATAATCAGAGCTTATAACTCTGCAAAAAAGAGATTACTCACAATAACATTAAGGTAACTAACAAAAGCAAAATCTACTCTGACACAATCAGTTTTGTAAAAAACACTATTGAAATAAAGGTAGCTTCATTTAATGTCAACCTTCCACCTTTTGCAATGCACTTTTTGTAAACATCAATAAAAAAAAACAGACTCACTAAATACAAAAAGATGATCTTAATTAACCTACACTCTAAGAAATATTGCGCTGTTTTAACACAAAGATGAGTCAAATATGGACAAACACAACCGATTTAAAAGTCTAATTTAAATGTATGTATAAAAAAATACCTCAACGTCATGTTTGTTTATAAATTAAAGCAACAATGAGGTAAAACAACCCAGCATTTGTCTTTTAGTGTACAACTATCAACTATGGATGTTATAAAGTTTCCTACAAAACACCACTGAAATAAAGGTAGCTTGTTTTAATATGTCAAACTTCTACCTCCTTCTGTAATCCACTTTTTGTAAAGATCAATAAAAACGTGGACAAACTAAATATAAAAACATGATCTCAATTAACATACACTCTAGAAAAACGCTGGGCTGTTTTAACCCAAAAGATGAGCCAAATATAGACAAACACAACCGGTTTAAAAGTCTACTTTAAATGTATGTTTAAAAAAAATAACCCAACAATACGTTTGTTCATACATTTAACGCAACACTGAGGTAAAACAACCCAACATTTTTCTTTGGGTGTATAACTATCAACTCTGTGATTTTATAAACTTCATAGACAATCAATAAACTGTTTAAATAATACATTTAGTTTCCACATTAAACTAGAAACTTATAACTCTGCAAAAGATATTAACTAACAATATCATTAAGGTAACTAACAAAAACAATATCTACTCTGACACAGTTTTATATAAAACATTAATGAAATAAAGGTAGTTTGACCTAATGTCAAACGTCTACCTCCTTTTGTAATGTGCTTTTTTATAAACATCAATAAAATGTGGACAAACTAAATATATAAACACAATCTCAATTAACCTACACTCTAGATTCTAGAAAAAAAGCTGGGCTGTTTTAACAGAACTAAGAATCAAATATAGACAACCACAACCGATGCAAAAGTCTCATTTAAATGTATGTATTGAAAAAAATAACCCAACAATACGTTTGTTCATAAATTTAACACAACAATGAGGTAAAACAACCATAAAAACTTCATAAACGCGCTTTAAAATGTTTAAATAACATATTTAGTTTCCAAATATAACATTATAAGAGCTTATAACTCTGCAAAAACGATATTAATAACAATAAAATACTATAACATTGGGGTAAAGTTGGCTTTATATGCAGACTTCCCCTTAATAATATAATTTCAGAAAAGTAACTGTTATTTTAAATAGGGAAATCATATAAGCAGCCAATGACTATCAGAGTACGTTCACAGTCATTTAATTAGTGCTAATCTTGTTTTTAAAGTCACACTTGCAAGCTAATTCAGACCGAATATATAAAGATTAAGGTAAATTGGTTTTATATTCGCATATTCTCTCATTTAACGGTCTCTAAATTGTCATGCTAATTTGAATAACAGGTCTGAATTAGCATGTTAGCCTAAGTAAAGTTATGACTTCAAAACAGCATTAGCAATATTTAACTGACTGTAAACAATGTACTTTAATAGTCACTGGCTGCTAATGTGATTTCCCTATTTTAAATACTTTTCTGAACTTATATTATTAAGGAGAATGTCTGAATATCCGAATAACCAACTTTACGTTGCCTCTATTATGTAAAGTAGCGTGATAAACAATATAGAGACCGTCTTACTTAGTTGTTAAGTGTTCAAAAATGAACAAATGAGCAAATATATAACCAATTTTATCTAAATTACGAAAACTAACACAGATATTATCAACACAAACTCCTATTCAACAATGAACACAGCAAATACGAACCAAACACACACGAACTCGCCTATTAATGAGCTGTCAATGTTTGCACACCTGTAACTGTCCGGAAAAGTGAAACCTGGCGTCTCCGGTGACTTATTTCCCCAATCCAGAAGCAGAACAACACTGATGTCCTACTGAAACATGCAGTAGATGAGCTCTGGTGTCTGTAGAGGGAAATAAATCCGCCTTCAGTGATCACAACACTATAGTCTGTCCAAATCAAGCACACACGCGGGATCACGGTGATGCATCGCACGGTAATCCCAGCAGCTCCTGTGTGTGTTTGTCTGTGTGATGCTGATGTGAACTCCAGCTGTCTTACCTTCACATGAATCTGCGCGCGCACGTTTCATTGTATGAGGATCCCGAGCTCGCGCTGCTGTCAGTGATGATGCGGAGGATGATGATTGTGATGATGATGATGCTGAGCTCTCACTGTGTGTAAGTGTGTGTGTTTGGAGAGTCAGCGCACTCCTTCTCCGACGGCCTGCGCTGTGAGAGTGTGTGTGTGTGTGTGTGACACTCTCTGCTCCGCCCCTTTAACTCTATTATTACTAAACACATAGCGCCATCTGTCGAGAGACAGAGAGATTAAAACCCAGATGATTATAAATGAATCATTGTAAATATACTGATTATTGTTTTTATTACTGTTTTATCCTAAAAATGTACAGTTTATTCTGATCTATTTTTGTATTGAATTGTATGAATAATTATTGTTGAATAATAATATAATATATTGAATATTAATGTAATATATTGAATAATTTGATGTATTGTTGATATTTTATTTAATTATTATATATAAATATCATCTTTTTTTTTTTTGCTACTACTATTTACTGTGTGTTCTGTTTATATATGTGTGTGTGTGTGTGTGTGTGTGTGTGTGTGTGTGTGTGTGTGTGTGTGTGTGTGTGTGTGTGTGTGTGTGTGTGTGTATGTTACTTTTTATGTAAACTTTATAACTGCTTTGGCAAAACATAACAATTGTCATGCCAATAAAGCAATTATTGAATTGAATTGAATTCATTCATCAGTTTAGTGTTAAAAAGATATAGAAGGCAAAATGTGACGACACATTAAAACCTTGCGCATGTATTAAACTAAAAAACATAGGTCTCAAACTCAATTCCTGTACGTAGTGTATGCACTTCCAGCCGCAACCCAGACTGGGAAACACCCATACACACTCATTCACCCCCATACACTGCAACCAATTTAGCTTACTCAATTCACGTATAGCGCATGTGTTTGGACTGTGCACTAAGCCGAATGAATAAATGAATGAATTAATTAATGAATTAATGAATATATATATATATATATATATATATATATATATATATATATATATATATATATATATATATATATATATATATATATATATATATATATATATATATATATATATATATATATACAAGGTCTTAGTTAAACTAGAGCATGTACATCAAAATGTATGAATATATATTTACATACATACATACAATCACTTTTATTATGTGACTATAAAAGTGATTTTATTTGGCGGTTCATTCCACTGTGGCGACCCCTGATTGATAAAGGGACTAAGCCGAAAAGAAAATAAATGAATGAAAAAAATAGATATTTTTATATAATNGTATATACAAAAAAAAATCAGCTATAGTAGTATAGCAATAGCTTCAGTAGTTAATATACCTAGTATATATACATTATGGGGTATATAAGTAACTGTGCATTATCATTGGCAAAAAAGATTNTAGTATGAAGTATACAGTAAATCAGCAATCAACATAATCAATGTATTTTTGTTACTGGTGGCATTTTAAATCTGAAATTAAGCAATTGAGAACTGATCTTAAACTCCAGTTCAGTATTCGATGTAGGATACTGGAGCATAATAATTGGCAGGGCAAATAACAGGCATCATGAATGATTACTCTGAGGATTTGCCATATTAACTCCAGTTACTACTGGGAATTAATGATGGTGATAAAGCGTTACAGTTGTGGGGAAGCTCCGTCCTGTGGTGTTTAACCCAGCAGGATTATACTGCAAAGTCAATGAAATGCAAATCAACCGTGCTTATGGGCTGCGCAATTAATAATTTAGATCTTGGGGAAATAACATGCATGAATTTAAAGTCTTCAATAAAATTAGTGTTGCACCTGATTGCAATGGAATGTTAGAACGAGCTACAAAAATGACCAAGAAACATGTTTTAGTAGGCATTTGCAGCATTTCATTTGGTTTTTATTAATATCTAAATGCCATTTACATACTATTTTACACATATCTTTACATCCTTAGAAGAACTGTTATCAAAAGGAAACCAAACACTCAGTAGTTTATTTTGTCTTTGTTTTCATATCTAAAACATCACGATTAAATAAATAAGAGTGTTATATTTCACAGGCATCT